CTCTTTTCTCTGAAGGCGGTTTTCGGTTGACAAGTCCAATGGTCTACTGACACAGTTTTCTCGAGTTTTCTGTGAGGACAGCTTGTGCACTAACAACGTACACCTGACCTGCACACTGATAGGCTCATTGGGTTGCTACGTGAGGCACCTCAGCCAATCATACAATGTCCTCTGGTCTCCTTCTTTCCCTGCATACCGCCAAATCAGCACCAGTGTTTTACAGTGTTTTGTACATACTGTATTTTCAGTTTTTTTTGTACGTACTGTATTTAAAAAAAAATTTTCTTTGTTATTATTGCAATAAAAATATATAATTTCTGTTCTACTTGAAGCAGCGCTGCGCAGACTGATCGGTGTCGAGTTGAGTTTTCATGAGTATTATAATTAAATTACACCAGCACTTAAACAGAAAATGCAACTGCTTCGGGGAACTGTAACTTACTGTAGCCTATTAATTCATAATACCGATCTCAGCATCTGTCAAAATTAGACTATTGTTACTGTATAGCAATAAATACACTTAATTATGCTGTAGGGTTTTTATTATTTATTAGCTCTAAAAAGGGAAATATTTATGTGGAATTATAACTGGTTATGATTCATAATAAATATTTAGATTATATCTTCGAATTAACTGTAGCAGAATCAATATTACAATTATTTGATCTGTCCGTCCACCGAGCAGACAATATAATCATTTATCAATTCAAGGAATGTTTATTTTTCTGGCCACGGAACAATAAACTGTCCTTCTTTGTGCAGTGCTAGCAGTAATTTAGCAAAATGTAGCAAGGGTTCACACATTCATTGACTTCGAACTGTGAGCAGCAAACAGAGACAATTCGTTGTGAATATAAGGGATTTAATAAATGAAACTATATCTAACATATAACTAACTAAAACATATATACACAGAATGAAACAAAGTAAGGAAAAGAGAGAGAATAGAAAAGAATGGCAGTATTTCACATCACTTAACCACAACCTTTGAAAATCATCAGAGAATCCAAAAATCACCTTAAAAAGGGACTGAAACTTAAACACGCATCTAAATAATTTTAAGCGGTTACTTGCATTGGTTTCGATTGCTGAAGAAGAGTCAGGATGCGGTAGATAACGGAGGTCTTTTGATGAGTTCGTGAGGAGTCAGCTGGAAGTTTTTACTTCTGGTTCTTCTGAAGGAAAAGTCCCTTTGACTAACGTTACTTGAAGATAAAAACTGCCGGAAAATAAAACTCAAGAGGAAGATCTTGAGAGTCTTGGAAAGGTGTTGTCTCAAATGGAGAAGAGTTTATGAGCAAAGATTATTTCGGGCTAATCGCTTTTGAGAATTCCTATTCAAGTCAGATGGGGGAGATGATAGTGGGGGTTGGTTAGAATCTCCTTGACGGCGAAGAACCATCTGGCAATTTAAACCCCCATTAAAAGTAAAGTCTCTGACCAGAACTGTAATTTATAGGCAAATGTCAAAAGGCTAAAAGGGTCTCTTAAGCCATAAACACCCCAAAGATCATGCATGATTCTACGCAGACGCTACAATGGTATTATATGCACAGACTTTCTATGACACACATGCATTTAGAATGAACAGATTGGTTAGCATTTAGCATTGTCTGTGGCGGACTTCACTGAGTCAGGGCAACATAATTCAATAAACAAGAAGTTAATAAGTGATTTAAATGTCTTTTTGCTGTAGTAAAAATGGTTCCAAAATCATGTTGTGCGTCTCACTGCAGTTCTGTTACTGAATGAATTTGCCTTTTTTGAACGCCTTGAATCATTGATTCACTGACCCATTCATAAAAAAAAGTTTTTTTCTTAGTTTCTGAATGAATCAGCCGTTTTGAAGGACTCGACTGAATAAAGGATCCAAAGACTCAGTCATTAAAACAGTGGCTACTGGTAATTTTGGTCTCATTTTTAAAAGTATCAGTCTATTTTTTTCTGTTATTTCATATTTCCGTGTTCTAAATTTTATATTTAAAAATATTCTCATAATATTATTTATGCAATTTGTAAGTGCAAATTTAAATTAATTATACTTGTCACTTAAAAAAAAATGTCCTACATTAATCTCTCTGGGCTATGCCCTGGATAGAACCTATCCTATGAGTGATTGTCATTGGTGATTTCAAATATGAAATGTAATCGTAAACTTGGCAGACAGTTTTAGAGAATTTGATGTTTCCCCATTCAAAGAGAAATGCGCTGAACTTGCATGCCCGAGAGGCGTTTCAAAGATGGACAAAAGTGTAATGACTTAATCATACAATGGCTTCTGGTCTCCTTCCTTGCCTACCACCAAAGCAACAGTTAAAGTTAGTTGTTTACGCTTTTTTGGCTAAAGGTTGCAGGCTTGCCTTCCAGTGGCTTTGGCTACGTCTCATATGTTTGCTATGAATTTACTACAATGGCACAAGCTGTTTTGAATCACTTTTTTTCTGAGGTCAAAGGTCTCATGTGGGGGCCCTGGAATATTTCCTTATGGGGGCCTTGGGAGCAAAAAAAATTATATCTTCAAGAAATAGACTATATTTTAATGTTGTTTTAACCCTTTCCCCAACTAAACTAAGAGACTAAGAGAGAGTTAAAGAACCTTTAAAGAACCATACAGAGGCTTAACAGGTTCATTATACGGTAGTGGTGCTATATAGCACCTTAACCACTCCAAAGAACCGCTGAAGAAACATACAGGGGCTTAACAGGTTCTTTATATGGTAGTGGTGCTGTATAGCACCTTAACCACTCCAAAGAACCACTGAATAACCTTTTTTTTTAGATTATGATTGACTCCGCTCTCTCCGTTGTTAGCATGCAGAGATTCTGATTGGTGTGTCATCAGTTTTGCTACATCATGTTTAACTTACTCGTTAATTGGCTGTGAAAATTCTGTCTTAAATTGTATTATACTGCAGAAATCAGAGTCTGAGCGCAAATATATATCTTTTTTTATCTGAATAATCATCAATGATACACTTAATTAGAAAACATACAGATAGGCCTACACTGTCGGACCCGTTCAACATCTACTGTACCGCTGCACATGAGCTGCGGCTACTTTACTGTACATTACACATCTGGTCTCGAACGTAATGACCATAAAATGCACACAAATTACTGATGCTTAAGTCTGATGATGTTCATTTATACAGTACATACATAGACTATTTCCTGCTTTTAGCTGCCTTTTCATCGCATCCTGATCCCGTAAAGGAAATCAGCACGCAATGTTGCCATGACTATCATGACTATTTCATGCGCTGGTTATGTCATAAAAGTGCTTGAATCAGTGGCGTAGCAAGTCAGCCCCCCCCCCAAATAATTTGTATGCCCC